ACAGTTGCATGAGAGAAAGGGAAGCCAGAAGCCCCCCAAGTGGGGTAGACTGGGTTTGCATACCCTGGGGAGAGGGATGCACCTGGAGGAGACAGACAAGATACAGAACAATCTACAATCCATCCACAGACCTCAGACTGTCACACAAGCCCATAACATTCCCAGCCCAGACCACCCAGTTTCCTGCTATTCTCCCCCAGCCTTCATTCCTTTCCCAGAACTCCCTCATTTTTCTGTTCTGTTGTGTAATTTAATTTTGCCTCCTTAGAGATCCTTTGGACATGAAAATCTAATTCTGTGTGTGCTGCTGGAAAGCCTTGAAATAGCCCTATGGGGAGAGTTTTAGTGAAACCAAAGTTATTTATGCCCACTTCTCAGAAAAAAAAAAAGAAATAAATAAATAGAGAGGAAGAGATCTCTGTCACCTAAAGAAAAATAGACACAACCGAGAACCTTTTATTCATGCCTGGTTTGACTCCAAAAAGAAAGGTAAATGTAGTTAGGAAATGTCATCTAGATCATAGTTGCTCAATTAATTGAATCTGACATTATGAAATGGTGAAGTCAACATAAACTGTAACATTAAGCTTCAAAAAGGCCGACTGCCTAAGCTAGAAGAGACATAAGTATAAGCATCATATATCCTGATATCCTGAAACAAAACAGACAGAAAACCTTAAAAGATATTAGATATAATATATAAAAAGGAAAAAAATGGTAGGTAAGCCGCAGGACATTGATACAGAATAAAAGATTTAATAAAAGTTCTGGGGTTTACTGGAACACTGAATTAAGTATTTAAAATTGCTTATAGCAGTAAGAGACTAACAATATAATTTCTCTATACATAAAAAAGAGAGAATAATAATATAGCAGTAAGGGACTGTTAAGGATCTAGCATAAGGACACTGGACCATTACAATTAGTGGCAAGTGTTCCTCAGACTCTACTGGGCCTGACACATCACCTCTGATTTTCATATCTGATGAGCATTAGATAATGCCTTCAAAATTTACGTATGGAAGTCTTCCTCTTCATGTCTCCATCTACACAAAAGACAAAATTTGCCCAGTAGGATATGTTAGACTGAAGGATAATTTATTCTGTAAACAGGTTATTTGTACTCCTGGTGTATGTATGTACATCAGATTGGCTATTGCAATAACTTGACACTTCTCTCTCCTCATCTAGGAGAACAAGCCAATCTTTAGCAACAGATAGAATGATGAGTACAGACAAAAAAAAAAAAATCAGAGAGAGCCTGTTCCACTCTTAAGAGTGGAAAACAACAGAAAAAGAAAGAGAGAGCACCTCTAATCTTAACTATTAATTAAACCTACCATGTTCACAGCTCAAGCACTTTTATGCCATATATAAAATTACATAAAGTTTTGGCTTTCCTTTTTACAGATGTCAATAATTTCCTGACTACTATATGACCTCATTATTTAGACAAGTTTTCTGTATGAGTACAGTAAATCATACAAACCCTCTTATTTCCTTTTATTTCCTCTTTTTCTCAGTTTTTAACGAAAACTGGTCTTTCTGCCTTGACATTTGTAAGCAGCCATTGCTAGGCAAAATGTGATCTAATTCCCTCATTTCGGGATACAGAGGAGACTTTCTTGTAGTAGTCCACTGAAATCTAAAACCAAACATAAAAATCCTTCTTTACTTCTTGTACCTCTGTTTTTGCATAATTATAATCCATTTGCAGAACTATTGCAAATACCCTTTCAGACAGCATCCACTAGAGCAAGATAGCACCAGCAAAACTGTGAAAGATATAAAATAATAGGACCTTTGCCATTTGCTATTGCATCATAGTTCTGGACACTAACGTTAACTATTCATTTATCTTGCAGCATATCACATATTAAGAAAATAAGCTTTTTGAAATGGAGCAGCAAAGACAAAATCCAGAAGGCAATCTCCTGCTTATGGAAGATAGAAAGCAACCAGCCATTTGGTAAGCTAAATGGTACCACCCAGGCTGGAACAATGAAGTCAGTGGGAAGTTTTCTCTAAAGAAATAGTTCGTCAGACACAGGACCATGCAAGTATTTTATATGATCCTAACCGCTGGATGACAGAGTCATGCCTCTACCTCTCCTTTGCCTGGCCCAAAGGATATGTAATTATGTCATGAAAGACAGGTGAAAAAAAAATACAGTTCTACAGTCTAATACTCTAATTTTATGTTATA